CCTCCTTAGCCTATAAATGTCTGACTAAAAAATCGACCCCCTTGGATTTGGATCAAACTTTGTGTGGAGGTTCTATACGTTAAAACATTACGAGATAATTATAAATTCATGAATTGCATGTAAAATAACCACTATAATTTAGAAATATTACATTATAACATTATAAGAAAATTATGAATGTAACTTATATATTTATCTTTATTATTGTAATATAATAGTTTTGTATTTTTATACCTTTTGAATACTTACTTAATTTTACTTTTCTATAATACTTAATGTTTGAAATTAATGTATTTTAACTTTATGCTTATTAATGCATTTTAATTGTTCAAAATATTACTTCTATTTTGAACAATTAAAATGCATTAATAAGCATAAAGTTTATTATATATATATATATTATTATTAAGTAATACCCTGCCATAAGATGATGAGATGAAAATCTGGCCTCAAAACTCCTGAGTACAATATAATATGCATAATAGCTTCCTTGTGGTATTTTCCTTCAACGCCGAGCACGGGATGAACCAGCACTTAAAATTTTAATTACCAATTTCACGATGGCGTAGGAGATCGAACTTGAGTTGCTTGGAGTCGCGTAATGTGAAATTTACCGTCGTCGTTCATAACGTCTGTAAGTAACCGCAATCGATTTTAAAAATAATATGGATACATAGGTCCAACATAATATAAATCGATAGAGTATTTAAAAGATCCTTGAATAAGATATCGATCGCTATAAAAAGTTATTTGTAACATTTTTATTAAATAATGCAATTGTTTAACGTTGTTCCACGTTACTATACTCCTTAACTTGTGTGCAAATTTTTTAATTGCTGTATCCTGTACTTTAGCTGAGCTATTTTCATGTATGGAAATAAACTACAATTAAGACTCTATTTTGCGATGGTGTTCTGTGACAGCGTGGTTCCTCCTTGGTAAAGTACACCCATTTTTGCTGTAGTCACAATACAGCCGCTGTGTCATAGCATACATATACTCTACCAGGAATAAAATGTCTTCTCCAATCTGCTATAATTCAGTTCCAGAAAGAACGCATGGAATGTCGGGAACGTTTATTGCAAATGTGCTAGTAAAGTACCAACGGTTGATGGTAGTTCAATGATCATCATTTCCACATCTTGCTGTCAGTAAAAAAGATCAGTACTATCGGCTACAGTAGCGTCTTCTTACTATATCGTAATAACGTAATTAAAACTTGAATATGATTAAATTAGATTTAGCACTTTTTGGGACACATTCAATGGTCTATATATGCAAATATATGCTAAACATAAAAGCTTTACCGGGCCTATATCTTTGTACAACGGTCATGCACATTAAAAAGGAAATCACTTTTTTTTAATTAGCTGTTTTTATCGAATCCCTAATTGTATATCAAAGAACAATCATTGAATAATAATATATCAACCTAACTCTTACGCACATACGTGGTGATAAACAACTTTAATCAACTAATATCTTAATCTAATAATCAATATCTCAAATTGTAAGAATCCAAAACAAGTAGCTTTTTATTTTCAATGTCATAAATTATTGTTTGAATATAAAACTAAAACCGAATCTTTGAAGTGACCTAGTGAACTTCAAATCAATATTTCATTATTTTGACGCGTAGAGCAACACGGGCCGTCAGTGGACCGGAGGGGAGTGGAGTAGCCACAGCGTTTTTCCTCGATACAGATTTGTCTGTCATTTTTTGAGGGGAAAATACCACATTCAAAAACAATCGTCTGTCGCTACGAAACTCACACATAGCAATAAAAACAATTTCACAAACACATAAATTCATTAAAACAGTATCACTCGATGACAGTAACATCTCGGATACAGACTAGGATCAGTCGCTCGACCAATCTGCGTATTGTATGAAGGCGAGCGCCCTGTGTTGGTAAACAAATCCGAAACAATTCGACCGTTATTATAATTTTTAAGTTTAAAAAGAAGTAAATATCAATAATGTGATAAAAATTACTTATATATGTAAGGAAGTCTTTCTCAAAGTGGGCGATATCGTCCTCTTGTGGGCGCTGGAGACCTAGAGGGGGGCGCTAAGGCATCCAGAAAAAGTGAGGGATAATTATTCTACCTACGTCTAATCTATGACGACGGAAACTGCCCGCGTATGCACGACTTTACCATCTTCCGCGCATGCGCGGAGATAGAGTAGTGCACTTTTTTTGTTTGGAATAGCTTCTCTATTACGTAGTACGTATAATTCAATGTTGACAGCATTTCCATCGACATATTTGTGTGAACATATGATATTGAGGCGTAAGTGTGTGGAAAATTATTCTAAATATATTTTTCTTCGCACTTATTTCCTTTCTTGGGGTATCTGTCAGGCACTTCCTGAAGTACTTCCAGACTACTTCCTACTGATCATTAAAATGACTATTTCCAAGACATTTTGTATAACAGATATATTGAAATCATATATCAATGGAAACTTTATTAAATAAGCTATCAGATTATGATTAACTTGAATATAGGTTTACTTCGAAAGTGAATAGACGTTGATTTTTTCCGGTTTTAGATAGCTCCTCAATTTCAACGTTTTTAATTGAAGAGCCTCTTTAACGTTCTCTTAACTTTATAATTTTTTTACTTAAAAATACTGGCAGTTATCTACGTTTAAATATCAATAACGGCTGTAGAATTCTTACCGTTGTATTGTAGTTTCCTAAACTAGTAACACACATTATTTCTAAGGACTAATCTACACACATTATTTAAATATAATTGAATCGTCTATCTTTTACATCGAAATACCTTTTTTCTTTTGAGCTCAGGAGAACTTTGGAGTTATTTTATGATAATGAGTCAGACCAAAGAGTAAAATTGTTCGAAGGTTAATTTACTCCGGAGTAATATGGTAATTAGTAAAATGCACCCTAGGAAAGGAACAACCTTTTTCGGCATATTTGTCTGTCTGTCTATCCATGCTAATCTTCAGAATGTGAAACTTTACGAACAGATAGAGCGCAATTTAAGGAGTGATTTATAAATAAATGGTACATTTTATATGAAAAATTAGAGGATATTTTTTGTGAAATCTGAATAGCCCTAAAAATGTAAAAAAATAAATAAATAGTTTTAAATGATTATCTAATATGCTATTATAATTTTACCCTAAGAACTTACTTTATTATCTTCTACATATTTAACATATTTTTAATACAAACTGTATTCTGTGAAAGTGTGGTCCTTCCCCGATCGAGCCGACCCATTCTTGCTACAAGTCAATTCAATTCAATTCATGCCTCTACCACGTTCAAAAATTCCAAAAATTTTAACAAATTATTGCACTTAAGAAAATCAATTATTAAATAATAAATAATTTGGTAGGTATAATTTGGATAACAAACGAGCGCACATTCCACCTGATGGTAAGTGAATGCTGTGGCCCATAGACATCCACATTTATCCTCGATTAAGAAACATAACGCAGATGCGCTGTCACCCCTGAAAATTACGACGGAACGCCTCGTTTCCATCAAAAAAGGGTCTGCGGATCTCTACACTCACCATACGAAACATAGCAATAACAAGTTGCTATTTTACGCTGGTATTCTGTGAGAGCATGGTCCCTCCCCGGTCGAGCCGACTCATTCGTGCTACAACCATAATGTAGCAGCAGCGTGACTCTACCACGTGTAAAAACATTTTTGTAAAGACAATTTTTACTAAGTCTTTACCGGCTACTGCTCCTACAAACCGTTTTTGCGGAAACGGTTTTGTTTGGAAAATTACATACACGAGCAAATAATTTTTATAGATACGCGAGTGAAGTCGCGTGTAAAAGCTAGTAGTATTAGTGGAAAATCACAGCGAAGCAAAAAGAGGTGGGGCTGTCATGTTTGTTTTTTCTTTTGCCAGGGGCACAGATTTTAATGAAGAACCCATTTAAAGTTTTTTTTATAAAAAACAATAAAAAATTGCGGTTGTTTTTTTGTTTTTGCGCACCAGTGTTGATATTATCATTATCTTCATTACAGCCCCTTCACTCACTGCTGAACATTTTCCTTTTCCAAGGAATGCTACAAAACGCCGTACTGAGCCACTTGCAATACATATCGATACATTCAATATTTATTTGAGAAAAAAAAATTACTGCGTTAGAACGTTATTATTCTCCCTTCTCGGAATTTCATTCAATTCAATTAGCTTTCATTGTGTCCACTCGACGGACAGGAATTATCACGTTGTCAAAAGAATGAACAATATGTCGCGCTCTCATCCAGCCATTTTCCAATATTGAAAAGTATTAATTAGTACGTTGCGTTTTTTGTCCTTGCTCGCCTAGATTTTATCAATAATATTTAATTTTAAAACTGTCCGACCCCTAGTGAAACCGAACTGACATTTATGAAGTAAATTAATTTACATTTCATGAGAAAAATTTTTGTTGTGTTGGAAATTGGTCAAAATAACGCGGCCAAATGTATGTAACTTTACTATTATAGGTACTTTACATTACTATTAACTGAAGATTTATTAATCTTCACTTTTGATTATAGCTTAACGCTCGCTGTAAATATAACAGAAGGCGAGTAACCCGGGTTCGATCCCCGCCGGCACCAATGAAGTTGTTAATTGCAATTTTAAGTGCTGATTTACCACGTGCTCGGCGGTGAAGGAAAACATCGTGAGGAAACCTGCATGTCTGAGGAATAAGAAAAAAAAATATTTCGAAAACATGTGAAGTTCGTCAACACGCATTTGGGCAGCGCGGCGGACACTTCCTTGCCCTAAACCCTCTCAGAAATGAGGGGAGGCCTGACCCAGCAGTGTGACGTATATAGGCTGTAACTTTACTTTTTTTTTTAGATAGCAATCAAAAGTCTTTAAAAAGAATATGAAAGCATTGTGTTCAAGTGAGTAAATAATTTTGTGCCCGAAACGTACATAATTTACTGGTACACAAATAAATTATAATAGAAGAGTTTTATAAAATAAAATTGTAACCAATTTTACAGGCAATTCTACAAGTAGCGGAAAGCTCATTCCCTGGACTAATGGGAATTCTGAACTCTGCTCTTGGTGACGTCTTTGGCAGTAACAACTCACCGTTTCTTGAAGTACGATTACGAGAATTGCTTTTTGATGGAATACCATTATGCACCAACCCTGGTTTCATCGGCGCAATAGCTTGCACTCAGATCAGAGAAATTGGAGCTAGTTCAAAAAACTTGGCCGTACAGGATAACGGAACGATTATCTTTTCTTTACTTTCCTACGTAAGTCTATTTAGATATATAAAAGGTCTCTCTTACTTATAAACTTATAATGTACACAATGTAAATACGCCCTGTCTGATTCAAAAGTTCGGCAAGTACAGCAATTACAATATCAAAAAAATTTCAACATCATATTATTAAAATTATTTTTTTTTTGGAAATGTAAATTTTCCAATCTATTTATTTGATTTATTTGTACATTAAAGTAAATTACAGCAATTATTATTTTTTTTTTTTTTATATTATATATATATATATTTATGAAATGTTATTGTTATTTAAAATATAATGTATTATCTACTACAATTTGCTGAATGACGGCGATGGAATCCTTGAATGTGTGGCGAATATTGTCTAAATTTTGCTCACGTGTCTAGCCCATGCACGTTTAGACACACGATTTTAAAATATTTGTATAAATTTTGTGTAAGCAAATGGAAACGCATTGTTGACTTGTTTCATATATATATTTGCACTCACTCACTCATGACTCAAAGAATGGACCACTATTTAGTGGACACCGTATCTTATTTAGATGCATCATTATATTTAAGTATATCATTTGATATAGGTATTAATAAAATAATAGAACATCGTAAAATTTACCACTTTTGAAGGAAAAAACTGTTTTTAATTCAAAAAAAATTTTCAATTCAGTTTTTAAAAATCTGTTATATTCTATGAATATATAGCATCTTTCTTGTATTGATGCCACGCGTGTGCCGCATGGCCGCTAAAATGTATAACTTTGTTTACATATATATATACATATATGCGTAGATTATGCGTTCAAACTTTGCGCACACACATAGCAATTTGAAGCTTTTAGCTTATTCTTGCGCCGACCTTACGAGACGGCGTGCGCGTGGCATGCATTGCTGCAATCAAATTTCTTTCATCGGATGTTCTATTTTGGTAACTAATAACTTGAAAATCTATTATATGTGTCTTCTGTTTAACTTCTTTGTCAAACATATGTATTTATTAGTTCTTGGAAAGATGGGACGATTCTTTCATTTTTTAAATATGTACTAGCTTGCCAGGCAGACGTTGTTCTGCCCTTTTCGACGACCCTTTGTCATGTACACAATTTGCAAAAAAAATTGTGGGTTGCTCATGGGCAAAACAACTATCCTATCTCTCAAGTTGGACCAAACTGCATACGGTGTACAAATTTGATTGAAATTCAACATCGCGGACAAACAACGTGACACGTAATTTATATATATTAAGATAGTGATTTTATAAGCCTACTAAAATGAGCATTCAAGAGATTAAAAAATGTTCTCAATCTTTATGCCGTCAATTGAAATCAATAATAAAACCCGTGCATTTTATTTTAGAAAGATTAGCTAAAGAAAACGAGTTTATTTCTTTAAGTGACGATGTAACAATATCCATGTTTTTAAAATTCATTTATTAAAGTATGATTGCTTTATTTCCTAGAAAGAGGAACTGAGCGAAGCGTACAAAGCGTATAGAGGTATTAATAATTCGGAAGATTTGGGCGTCATCATCTCTCTTAATGAGTCGGCATATTTCAACTACTGGGTAAACGATGAAAAGGACGACGAGGAGGTGCTGAGTGTCTGCAACATGATCAACGGCACAGACTCAGGAATATTTAATCCTTTCATAAACCGAGACAAACCGCTGTACGCTGTTAACACCGATATTTGCAGGCAAGTACCAAAGCATACCCATAAGTCGTTGTGCACGTTATCAACTCTTAATAACGTTCACTTTTTAGTCACTAAGTAAAAAGCGGACGTTATTTGTAATTATAATATTTTAATAGAAACGTTACTCCAAGTTATAGTATTTATATTGTAAACTAAAGCTACATTCACGAAGATCAGAATCTCATTTACTTCAATAGAATATTTTTATTTTTATTATTCTTAGCTCTACATGTATTATTGAGCAAAGTCTTTAAAAGTCAAAAGCAGAAAGCTCAACTCCCCGATTTCGATCAGCAGACTTTGGTCCGCAAATAGGTAATACGATTTTCTTTTAGCCTTCTTTCATGTTGATATTCCAAAGAGCATTTCAATGTTTTACAATTCGCTGTTTTCATCAACATCATTATTTTCAACAACACAAGACCCCTATTTAAAAAAGAGCTCCTCCGAGGAATGCCACAAAGCGCGGTCTTGAGCCACTTGCAACCATCCAAATTTTGCATCTGTTACCAGGTCGTAATTGTCATTTAGTGAGGATTTTGCACTCAGGAACCTTTCTTCTTCATCGGTTTTCAGTTCGTGAAATCATATGGCTGGCCCAATGCGGATTGAGCTTACTGATCTGATGAAGCTCTTCACTTACTGATCATAATTTGATTCGAAACGGAAAAGTTTGATTAACCATTGTTTCTAATTACATTCAATGCATTGTGACTATCACGTACAGATCATAGTCAAAGGAACATACATAGATAACACAATTTGGATCAGGTTGAAATAACTATTGAATAGATGCTATTCGATACAGGTACTATATATAACAAGTAAATAAATATAATATCTATTATTTAGGTAATGTTAGAGGAAAACTAAATGAACATAAATATTGATATACTAAAATCACATATATGAAAGTTATGACTTCAAGTTCTAGTTAGTTATATAAGACTTAAAGTTTTATATAACCTATAAATAAATCAATTTATACGTAAAATAATATATCATTTTGTTTCAAGCACTTTTTATTCGTTTAAACCTTAAAATACATCTTTAAATATCATCAAACCTCTCATCAAATCAATGATTTTTGGGAAAATATTAATAAGTCTGGAATGTGTGTGGAATTTATCACGTGCTCCACCTTTTCAAGCCAAAAATGACTTTCTTTTGTTCATGGAGTGCTCTGAAGCATTGTCATGGTGCAATATGATGCTACTTCTTGGTCGTTTTTCCCTAACTTTTTCAAAGACACTAGTCAAACAAATGGCGGTGTACTACTCAGCATTAACTGTATTTTAATCTTCAAGTGAAATAACAAAACTCTTCTGGGAGAAACAAATCGTAATCATTTTGTGGCCCACACTTCAGTAGTTACGTTGTACCAGTTCTGGATCACTGAGTCAGAAGTGGTACAAGTACGACATTCGTCGACTCACGATCCTAAAAAAAAAAGTTTTGGCATGCTCTGATCAAGAATCTGCGGTCTATTTTTGCGTAGGATGCACGGTTCCGAAGATGTGCAGATCAATTAACTCTTATCTAATTGATATCCAGTGAAGGCCTCCACCGTCATTAGCGCTCCATTGTTCTTATCTATTTATCTATTGTTCATTGAATACCGTCATTATCTCTTCTTCCTCAGCGTGGTGCTATTGTATTATACTCCTTTGTTCCTATCTACACTAATCTGACTCATCAATAAAACACATTACCTAATTTTGTTAAATTTTTTATTTACAAAATACAAAATCTTATTACTTATTATCTATAAAATAGGAGCGAAACATCTCATCCACTAAAATATCGTTGTACAAAGTGTTCACTGTAAATATACTCGTAAAACTATGCATTGAACATCCATGAAACTTATATAGCAAATATATTAAGCAATATTCGCCACAAACTGAAGTCCACTCATTCTGAATCCTATCAACATTCCAGTTCCATCTTTTACGATTTCTTTTTAAAAACTCTAGATGATATCGTAGGTGTGTCGTATCGATATATAAAGCTGTCAATGTGACCCTGTTTATCATCTGTATCCAAATTGCATATATATGTTGGTACGTGGGTGTACATGGGCAGTTTATTGGCAGCATAAACATTATTTTCTAGAGTGGGGTGACTCTTTTTCAGATGTTGTTGTACATCTAGTGTATCCATGATATTACTGCTATTAGTAGATTATTACAGTACAATCTACTCAATGACTAACATAGGAATGATCAATTATAGTGATTTCTAAATATTAAATTGCATTATTTTGTGTTATACAAAACGTATTTGAGTCATCAATACACTGAACAAGACGCGACACGAAGTAATGTTGAGATAAGCAACAAAATGTGAGATAAGCTTGTTGACGCATAAGGTTATTATCAATTCTACTGCAGAAATTCTTTAGATTAGATTATTACTTACTGGTACTATATAAGACCAAGCAAGTGCAGTCATGGAGTTAGTGTATGGTCGTTTGACCGCAGTGGATCTATCAATACTACATTTGTGTTACTTCAACGCATCATGGATGTAAGTGTTTATTCTATTGACAAGCTTACTTTTCTTTCTGTTATTTTCCTACGTGTGTATGATTTAGTGTTAACAAATTATATTTAAATATTATGTGTGTATATGACTAAGCCGTGGTAGCTCAGATGGTTAACGCAAGCTGTAAATTTCACAGTACCCGGGTTCGATCCCCGCCGGCACCAATTAAATTGTTAATTGCAATTTTAAGTGTTTATTCTATTGACATAGTTACTTTTCTTTCTGTTATTTTCTTACGTGTGTATGATTTAGTGTTAATAAATTATATTTAAATATTGTGTGTGTATTATATTAAGCCGTGGTAGCTCAGATGGTTAGCGCAAGCTGTAAATTTCACAGTACCCGGGTTCGATCCCCGCCGGCACCAATTAAATTGTTATTTGCAATTTAACGAATTATATTTAAATATTGTGTGTGTACCGCATCTACGAATACTAGAGTAGTTAAAAAATACTTTTTTAACAATGACAGTCATTAGTTAATCATTAGTGAATGTGATTCTGTTTACTTAAATTACAGGAAGATAAGAGCAGAAGGAAGAAATGGGATGATGGGAAGTAATGAAGCATTGTTATGTGAAGTTTGTTAAGACAAACATATTTTTAGTCACGTGTAAATACATACATAACATTTTGGTTCAAAATGACATAAAATCTAAAAAAATATTAGATACATCATCGACATGGACGGATTTTACATTACATATCCTCATAAACATTTTCAATGTAGAGAAATGGCTATTATAGACGTAAATCTATGTAATAAAAATGATGCGTTTATCGATCATTATTTGTTTCGGCCAAGTTATCCTTTCAATTATTTGTCACCAAAAGACAAAAAAACTGTTCGTTATTGTGAAACACACGTGCACGGCATTCCATATTTTGATGTGACCGAAGAATTAATATGTGCCTACAAACAAGAGAACATCACCGTCATATTAAATTGGTATATTAGAAATTTGTGCAAAGACGAAGTGATCGCATACAAAGGTGGTTCAACAGAAAAACAATTTTTAAAAATGTTGACGACGAATGATAGAATTTTTAATATTGAAGAATACAAATGTCCAAAATATAATGATTTGGTAAATGTCATAAATTTAAACAAACGTTATGTGTGTAATAATCATATATTTACAAAAAATAATCACAAAATTTTACATTGTTCTTGTACCGAAGTGTGGGTTTTTTACAAGTAGTTATTGCTTGAAAATAAAATTTTCAATTAATCATAAATTTTGTTTGATTTCCCAAAAACATTAGTTATGGTACACAATATATATAATTGTTTATACCAACACTTTCATTTTTTATTTCAACCCTTAGAACTTTAGACGTGTGTAATGTTTCACTTTATACATCCGTTTACTGCTATTGTGGCAGGAACAAGTGGATGTGGGAAGTCAAGTTTTGTAACAAATTTCATAAAATCAGTTACAGAAATATGTAATTGTGATTTTAATCAGATCACGTGGTGCTTTGATGAAATGCAACCTTTATATAATTTACCAAATGTTAACTATCATCAAGGAATTCCAAATCTTAATATGTTTGATGGTGAAAATCCACATCTCCTTATTATTGATGATCTAATGAGAGAGTCCGATGGAAGAATTGTGGATATATTTACAAAAGGTAGTCATCACAGGAATCTCAGTGTATTTTATTTAACACAAAATTTATTTCATCAGGGTAAAGGGCAAAGAGACATATCTTTAAACTCAAGTTATAAAATATATTTTAAAAACCCTCGAGATAAAACTCAAATAAGATATTAAGCACGACAAGTGTCACCAGATAACCCAAAATTCATTGAAGATGCCTACAGGGATGCAACTCTAGAGGCACATGGATATTTAATGGTAGATTTAAAACAGAATACCAATGATTTTTGTCGTATCAAGACAAATGTCTTCCCATTTAATGGTTTCTGTACAGTCTACGCCCCACAAAAGAGTTTAAATACACCAAGAATCAAACAATTCAAATCATTGCTAAATGATGCATCGTCGACTCACAACGCGTAAACATTTGCTAAAAGCTTTGCATACGCTTAAACCAAAATATCAAAGAGCATTACTAAAAAGTGTGATAAAGAAGAAATTAACTGTATTTGTGAGTGTATTCATAACGTTTTACAAGGAAAAGTACCTCTTAAAGATCAAGATAAACAAAAATTGAATAAACACAAAAATATACTCCGTAAACTAGTGCGTAAGTGTAAACATAAACTAAGAAAAAATAAAATTATACAAAAGGGAGGGGCTTTCTTACCAATAATATTAGGTCCAATATTAAGTGGATTAATGAGTGGACTAGCCAGTTAACATGGAAAATGCAAAGAAAATGATAATTATCGAACCTGGATTGATTGAAAAATTAAAACAAGAAAATAAGGTTAATAGTAGTTTATCTCGATTAGATATTGAAATGCAAAATATTATGAATAGT